AATGTACCCCAGATGGTCTAACCTTAATTATTTTTGGAAAACCACTGAAGCATTTAATTTTAAGGTTATCTTCCCCTTGGTTAACTCTTTCTTGCATTTCTGGCAATGTCGCCTGCTTTTTATGAATTTTACTATGTCTTTACATATAGGTACTAAGTAATTGTTTCACTGAAGCTATTTTAATGTCAAGTTGATTGTATGTGCAACACATGGGAGATGTTTCTTTTTTATTATCTCACATGCCTTAAGCATATTTGCGGGGTTGTCTGTGACAATATATGAAATTTTCTTCTCAATATCCCATTCTGAAGATACAGCCAAAGAGCTGTAGCAATATTTTCTGACGTATGCCGTACTCCACATTCTAGTAATATTGTTGATAAAACTACAGATTTTAGCTCAAAATCTTCAGTAATAAAATGACATATGACTGTTAGATATGATTCACTAGCAACTGATGTCCATGAGTCTATAGTTACAGCAATACATACATTAATTACACTATCCAATATATCTTTCAATTGTTTCCTTTATTTTATATTCACTCGCAATAACATACCTTGGATTAAGTAGGTTCACGAAAGATCTAAAGCTTGTGTCATTGAAGATATTGTCACAGCCTCTCTGTGACGGGGGTGACAGGTGGATAGATGGAGAGAAACTGGCTCTGTTTTATATAAAAAATATGTATATTTGCTTTGAATGGTTATACACTGGTGTCTAAATATTGTAGAATTACAAAGAGTAGTGGAGGTACTGCTATTCTTATAAGGGATGAATTTTTGGAGACTTTCGAAGTTATTGCTGTTTCACACTGTGACATCCTTATAGTAGGAGGTGTTTTTGAGTTTTCATTGTTGTTCAATGAAAGAAACAACTTTCATATTTTGTGCATTTACAGACAGATAGATAAGGTTGAATACCGGGTCCTCCTTTTCTAAGTAGCTAGTTGACAATATTGAAACGTTGGAAGTCTGTGTAAACCAATCTAGTCAATGCTCGGTCCAGTGCTTTTTTCCTTTGTGAGTTGCTATCATACTGGACCTCTCGTTTAATAAAATTCAATCGAAAGATGTAAGTAGGAATACCGTAATTCCGACTTATAAGTCGAAATTTGATATGGGAAAAAAAAATTATAAGGTGGCCCTTCTACGCTTTCGTAATTTTTTAACAACTTCACCAAGTCTCCAAAAAATCAATATTGGTCTTGTACCCGATTAAAATTTCTATATTTTTTGAAGCACCTAATTGAAAAATTCCAGGTATTAGCAGGGATTTTCCACTTAATTGAACAATAAAGCACTTGATTATCAGACACTATTGATTTATCAATTTTGCAGCTAAAAAATACTCTACAAAGGTTGAAAAATTGGAGAAAAATATACAAACTTTAGATAAGAGTAGGTACTTATTGTATTTGATGAGAGATTAGGTAATAGTGTTATCGGGAATATGAAATAATAGAATATATAATTTTTTTCTGCGCATATTAGTTTCAAAATACGAAAACATACTCTAAGACTGAGTGTGTGATTATTTTTTTGTTTGGCCTAGAAAGCCACGACTTCAAATTTTACCAGCAATAACATTGAGAGGAAAGTTCCATATTATCCGGCAAAGATCCTCAAAGTAAACTGATCTCACAGGCTCAACCCCATTGGAAACCTCAATTTTACAGAAACTTATTGATTTCTAGCAACTTGCTTCAAAATTACTTTTATCGACTCATAAAAACAAAAACAACTAATAATTGCCCTTATCTTTTTTTTTTCAAGCTGCAAATGCTAAGAGTGCAAATAAATCAATTGTCAAATATAGATGTATTTATTAATAATTTCCGAATAGCGCAGTTTTTATTTATTTAGCAGCAGTCAAGCTGTCTGTGATAATTTTAATGATCCAATAACAAATAAAATGCTATATCATAATTAAACCAAAATACATACACGTGTGACTATTAAAAAATCTCAGAGGCGTAGATGTTTTATGGAATAAGATCTAGATACATTATGCTGAATAATTCTTGAGTTTGAAGACTGTTTAGGGGTTCACAACGTTAAAATCTCATTTGTCCAACTGTTCAAATGCAGGGTTCCACTACGACTATTTTACAAGTTCTCTTGGGCTCTGTTGGATGTTCATTCGATGTCGGTATTTCCTGGAAAAGTTGCTGGCTCTCTGGCAGGGGTCTTGAAAATTCTGCTTTGGGTTAATTATCGTTTTATTCCGAAGGGCTGTCCTCCACTTGACACCTACAAGGAAAATGAAGTGCATGTTTTGTGTCCGGTTTCTATGTAGTGTTGGAAGAGTGCGCATTATTGTTTTTGTGTTATTTAATTCCAAATGTTACCCTTCCTGTTTGTTTGCCCCATGTAGGACTTCCGAGCGAATCTTGTATACTCCATGGTTCGCTATCTCAATTTTGACCTGGATGCTGGCGACAGTTGTTTTGGGTAGGTAAGTCCTCCAAGGATTCCTAGAATACCACATTTGCGGTCTTGTATATGCTATACATAGGGTCTCTGGTTTTATTTTTCTTAGCTTTGTTTGTTAGTTTAATGCCTTTTTGATGGCATTTTCTTTGACAATGCTTCCTTATTGCAATATTTCAAGTATATCTACAATATATTCTGGAAAATTTTCATTCTTGTATATTGTGTCGAAAGTTTTATCTACATACTGGAAATGCTGGGATAGGGGAAACGATAATTAAAGTTGCTATTGGATTGTGGTAATCAAAGATAACTTGTCTTTCACGTTGTTTACATATGATTGAGCTTTTTCTACGGTGAGCTATTGCAAAATGTTGGTTAGATATTTCTCAAAATGCTGCGTTGAAAATCCTCTGGCCTCTTTGGAACAACTTTTCGAAAAATATTTGGAGTCCATAGACTTCAAAACGAGTGCCTTAACTTTAGGTTTTAGTGTTTTTTGTTTTGATTAGTCTTATTCTAAACTCAAACTTTTGCAGTTTGTATACGTTCTAGATGAATCTACATCTAAATCCTCAGCCAGTTCTATTTTTAATCTAAATTAAATTAAATTAAATCTTTGTATTTTCGGGCGCTCCTGCTTATTGTTTAAATTACCCGTTTAGAAAACAACATGTTTTCAATTAGAAAAATTATTTATCATATCAATAGCAAACTTGGGACTTAATTCTTATAATCGAGTAAATACAGATAAATTGAAACAGTTTTTTCTGTATTCTATGTTCTATTTTAAATGATGATCTTCTTAAATAATAAATTGATAAATAAAACGGGTAATCAATAGTTTCGAAAAGAAATTAATGAATAAATAATACATGTCTAGGTTAATGAACCAATTTTTTTTATCGTTGTGATTTAAATTTAAATTTTTCCCAATAAAATTCTGGGTCATGCTTAGAGAAGAGTTTTGCTAACTTGACGTCAAGTTAGCGAGACAGCATCACTAATTAGTTGCGAAGCTGGCGCTTGTATACGCAACTAATGAATTATTGTACTACTGGGCCAAACGGTTACAGTTTTTCAAAGTCGAATGAATTTGACAACATTTATGGTTTTGTATTGCATATTTTTGAATCTTGCCTTGAAAAAACATCTTATTCCAAAGATTGACATGTTTTATAAACTCATTTTGTTTTTCCTCAATAATTATTGAAGTAAATGGATTATTTTTCATTGTAAATATTTTTGATTCTCGCATCTTTTCACCATGTGTGTGTTTTAGCTTTTGGAGTGTCTTGTTATTGGAAAACATTTATTTTCCAGTCTATTTATAATGTAAAATATCCTCTACAGACTGCTTGGCAATTTCAAAAAATATTATCACTCGGATATTAAATGTACATATCATTAATACATATGTAATTATTTATATTGTTACATAAGCAAAGGTTCGCAGATAAGTGAGAATACTCTTTCAAAATTAATTTACCTTTATTCAAGACAATAACATAAAAATTACTTTGTTCAATTACAGTCAAACTTATTTAGTTACATACATAACGGGAATCACAACTCACTGTCTCACTATCGAATCGCCAATTGTTAACGTTCAATGGCGCGTTATCACCTCTAGAATTGTCTAGATAATTCGCTTCCTCAAATTTCTATTCGCGAATTTTCTAGTCATCAGGCAGTGCTACCAGGTTGTGCATAATTTACCCAACTTGACAGATTTATAACAATATATACAGGGTGTGTCCTACGACAAATTGCGTCGATCGATATTATAAGATAAAGTATTCCAAGATTTTTTCTTTAAATTGATGCAGACAATCGAACTTAATAATCTCTTCCCTTCATACCAGAAGTAGCGCTCGGGTTATTTTGAATGGAACACTCTGTATATTTTTGCTATGACCATGATAAACAATTGTAGGTACGCGAAAGAGCTGTCAAGGATCCTTTGATTTCCAAAATAGTTGCTACTAAATGTACTTACATGTTTTTGCATTTTTCACATTGCCAGCCCCCAAATTCAGCTTTTAGTTTATTTAAATTATTGTTTTATTTTTCCAGGAAAAAGTAATATCAAAAACATTAAGAGGGACCCCAAAAAATTGGTTTGTCCATTTTTTATCGGTTCTGTTAAATTGAACTTTATCTAAATAACGTACAAAAAAATCGTAGAAACACTGGAAAAATACAGCAAATTAAATTTGTGGAGTCGTAAACCAAGGAAACATCAAACATGCAACAAGACTGTGCATTGTTTCAGTGCAGTATACGCGTTTGCTGCATCGGTGTGCGATGATCCCGAGACATTGTACGTTTTTTACAATGGATATATGCAGCACAAGTCTATCTGCAGTATTCACTTCATGTCGCACGTTGCATGTTGCATGTCTGATGTTTCATTGGTGTATGACCGCACTTAGACAACCTTTTAAACTTAACTGAATGCTAGGCAAATCAATTGCTCAAATCAGTCAGTGTCTGTTTCCTGTAAGCCATAATTTTTTTTTTCAGATAATCCTTTTAAGTAAACAGACTTTTTTTAATTATTTACAGCAAACATATCTGAAACGATAACGGACGAGCTGATGCGACGATGGTATGGACCTGAGGTAATAGTGGCGGAGATCAAGCGGAAAAACCGCAGCGAAGTCCACACGATACGGATGACGGATATTCCTGTCACTGAGAAGCTGGAAAAGTTCGTCGAAGATGTGAAGTAAGTGTTTATAGCTTTTATACATAATATGCAAAAATATTGTATGCGCGCCAAACTGATCCTGACAACTGACAACAGTGACAACCGGAACAGTCGAATTATCTACTCAAACATGTGAGCAGAATACAAACTGTTATAGTTTTAGTAAAAATTGGATGTGGCAAAACTGTTATGAATGAAATAGACATTGGAGGTTTGAAGATGAAGCTACTACTTTAACTTTTTTCAAACAATAATAAGACAATAAGGGAATTAATCGATTGTAAATTTTCGCCTTTTTTCTGTAAGCTTTGAATGATTCGCCTAACAAAGACTTTTTTTGAGACGAAAACCTTCCGTTGAGAATCTTTGTCAAGCAAAAAAACAAATCCCCATCAAAGAGTATATTTTTAGGTTGTCCCGAGTTGGCCATTAAAATACCTCTACATAAGGGGAAATATCTGCAATACCTGGTGCAGGCGCAGCTGAGCCTTCTGATTGCAAGTCACATTTCAACTTTTCAATCTTCTTGTGATCCCCTGACTCACGCGTTTTACTTACAAAAACATTCAATGGCGAAATCTTTAGAATCATGTTGTATGCTGATTGTTTATGTGAATAACACAATGAAGTTTCTGAATACTCGCAACTACCGTCGTGAACAGTGCTCTGAAAGTGCTTCTCCGCACCAAAATAATTTTGTAACAATATTCTTTGTTAATAATTTTTCACTTGATGTAAAATCTTGACAGAGTGTATTTCCTCTCTTTTACACGAAAAACAAATAGAAAACCTTCTGATCTTCAAAGGACTGTGTGAAAATCCGTTTGATGTGGATCTACTATTTTTACCGAGATTTTTACAATAATAAATTAGTTTTTGACTTTGATTTTCCCTTCGGAGATAATTTTTTCATTGTTCAATTATTTTCACTCAAAAATCTAAACTATTCTTACATCATGGCGCAAATTGATTTACACCTTTAACACTAGGTACTTAATAACCTCTTTATTTGATAATTCCCAGACAATAAAATTAAGTAAGATATCATTATCTAGCCAGCTGATAGAATAATATCAAAATCAGGATTCTCTGTTGTTTGTTTGTTTAATTACTTTAAATCATGAGATATGTGCATGCAATAGGATAAATATGATTTTAATTGCCCCATGTTTGTGAGTATCTTTCTTTTTTTGAACAAGAGATTTCTCAGTTCAGGAGAAAACCAAGTAGAGACGTTTTCTTAGGAGTGCATAAAGTTGGAATCCGTCAAATAATATGTGTCCACGGAATTATCTAAATTGTCAGGATCAATGAAATTATTTCTATTCCAATCCGCAGAAGAAAAAGACGCATTAGGTTGAGGAAGATTCCTTTCGCTGAATAAAAAATAACAAGTTAGAGTGGGATTTGAAATCATTTTTTCAATGAATTCACACACTTATTTCGAAAGATGTATGGTAGATCTCAGCGTGTTCCAATCCAGCATTATTTTTGGACAGTTTAACTGGAAAACTGGAGAAGAATGAGCACAAAATTCATATTCATTATTGTTCTTAAAAATATTAAATTGAGACATATCAGCAACAGCCATGTTGTCACAAACTATAATTTCACTGTCACTACTCCTATTGCCAAAAAGAAAACCTTGGGATTGTCAGAGGCGCATTGACAGGTAAATTATAGCCTCTAAGAATCATATCATTTTTTGAAACGTTCACAGGCTTTCAGCTGGATCTATATGCCCACTACAAACCTCAGAGTTCATAATCGTAGGTATAAATGCAGTTAGACCCACACTTCTTCCACAAGAATTTCCTGTGTTAAGTGGAATAAATTTGCAGTCCTTTCACACTGCAAAAGAACTCCATTTCCCCGTTTTTGTATTCATACTGATTAGAAAAATTATTGCCTATTGTGACATATAATACAAGAACCCTTTCATTTGACGAGAAAGTGTTGAAGAACTTGAACAAATACACTGGGATGTAACCGGAATAAGCGAAATCCGGAAAAGAGGAGAAAAAATACCTACCTACTGAAGTCAGGAAATATATATTACCACAAGTGTGAAGAAAAGAGCTCTATAGGAGGAGTCCTACTTCTGATAAGTAGGCGACATGTACACAATATACTTGAGATCAGCAGCGTAAGCCCCAGAGTTTGCTTTGTAATATTGAAATTAAATGAACGATACAATGTCAAGATTATCCATAGGCTTGGATAATGTAAAGTTCGGACAAAGATATTGAAGACTTCTACAAGGACCTTCAAGAAATCTCAAGTCCTCCAGCGTACTTTACCATGTTAGTCGGATACTTCAATTTCAAACTTGGAAAGAAACAAAATGGAACGGAAACACCACTGGGATGCCATGGGGTTGGAGAAAGGAACGAACGAGGAAATCTCCTACTACAGTTTCTGTTCCACCATCAACTGACTGCCATGAGCACATTCTTTAGAAAGGCGGACCATCGAAAGTGGACATGAATCGGATGGTATGACTAAAAACGAGATTGATTTTATTATTACAGACAAAAAACGCATAGTTACAGACAATGAACTATAACCAAAAACTGGAATACTAACACATAAGGACGAACGTGAAGCCTAGTGCAGCTGCTGCGGAGGGGATACCTGTTTTTGTCGCACTCATTTTGTTAAATGGCGAAAATTGCTTCCAACACGTATTCCAATCGATGAAATCTGTGAAGGGAAATATGACAAAACTTTCGAAAACGTCATATGACAGCGAGCAACAGAAAAAAACAACATTTCCCCTTGTGGCATCTGTCTTTCATGGCTTCATTTTTTTGGCAGATATGGCAATGTGTGCGCATTCCAGTTTTTAGCTATAGTTTATTGGTCACAGATGTAATACGGTACTGAATAGCGTGTCAGTAGGGAGGGAAAACAGAATGGCGAGAGCGACGGTGTCAATAAACTTAAGAGCCGAAGGCAGAAAACTTGTAAATAAAAATAACAACACGAAATGGACCAATATGCACTTAAGTGCATCATAGAAATCGGCCCACTGCTAACTTTTGACTTCACTTATTTTTTTTTAGAAACTATCCAAAGGATTATTATTTTAATACATAATTTCAACTCATGATATCAAATTGTTTTTCAAATGGCATATTTCTTTTCGTAATCTTATAAATAGTTTCTAGAAAAAAAATAGTTGAAGTCAAAAGTTAGCAGTGAGCCGATTTCTATGCACTTAAGTGTAGATGACGCTGAGGGATATCGAAAAACAATAGATAAAAATCTGAAAGACCCTGATTCAATGAACATCGAAGATCTAAATAGAAATAATGTGGAGTCAATCAGCATAGCCCAAAGTAAACACTGCTCGAAGCCGTCAGAAAAAGAAGAAAAATTGACTTTAAATACCAAACAATTAATGAAACAGAGGAGAAAAAAATCACTGGGGGAATACCCACAAAACCAGGACGAGTTGAAACAACCAAATAAGGATATAACGAAAGCTGCGAGGGCTGACATTAGAAAATTTAATAATAAATGGGTCAGTAAGGTCATAGAAGAAAATAAAAGCATGAGCTTACTACGAAATAAACTAAGCGCAGGAAAGACCGAAATAATCAAATTAGAAAATGAAAGAGGACAAGAAACAAACAACAGATAGGAAATAATAAAGACTTCTATAACAGGCTAACAGAGGCCAGAGAGAAACACCGTATATCCCATATATTAAATCAGGGATCAAAAGAAATGCTACCAATAAGCGAAGAAGAGGTCTCAAGGTCACTCTCAGAAATGAAAAACAACAAAGCATTGGGAGAGGATGGTGTTGTTGCAGAGGCTGCGAAACTAGGAGGAAAAAAGTTACTCAAAGTGATAACTGAACTCTTTAATAAATGTCTTGACAAAGCAACACCCCCGGAGATGTGGAACAATGCCATCATCATTATTATGCATAAGAAAAGCAGAATCACAGACTTGCAAAACTACAGACCGATTAGTTTGCTCACACATCTATATAAACTATTTACCAAAATCATTACTGCACGTCTTACTAATAAATTAGAATCATATCAGCCAAGAGAACAAGCGGGCTTTCGGGCTGGGTAAGGAACAAACGATCTAACGATCACCTTCAGGTTATTAAGTCATTTAATAGAAAAAAGTGTACAATATAACAAACCCTTGGTGCTAACGTTTGTGGACTATGAAAAGGCGTTCGATTCCGCATTATTCAAAGCTCTTGCCAACTGTCGTATAGACCACCGCTATATCTCGCCACTGCGACACATATGTAAACACGCAACAGCAAAAGTAAGATTGCATGATGAAGCAAACCAGTTTAAAATTGGAAAGGGCGTTCGACAAGGGGATACTATCTCTCCCAAACTTTTTACAACTCTGAGTACATGTTTAAAAAGATAGAACTGGACAATAAGGGAATAAACGCAAATGGAGAAAAACTGAACCATTTGCGTTTCTTGGAAAGTTTACTGGCGGAAAGTACTTGCCGCCACTAAACTTGTCATGCGTAAACCACAGGAAAGTGCACTTGCTACTTGCCGGCAAGCGCTTTCCAAAAGTTGATGGACCGGCTAGTTTACTTGTCGCTACGCCGAATTTCTGTTTGTAATTTCCGTGTGTAAACGGGTCACAAAAACAGGCGTCCACGTTTCTGTATAAATACTGCAAGGAAGCAAAACTATCACCAGTGGCAAGATATCGTAAGTAGTGTGACTTCCAATTTGATTTTAGAAGAGATAGGACTTCTAGTTTTAAAAATCTCATAAAATTTCTATAAGAATCAGGATCTTCACTTGATATCTCCTTTAAGAGTCTTTCTGACGCACCCAGAGTACTTCTACGTCTGATCCAATCTCTAACCCAAACTCGTTTTTTCCTATTTTTCTTGCGTTCCAACTTAATTATTGAATTATTGGCAATTTCACTTACAACATTTTCAATAGCAGCACACACTACCATACTTGGAGCCATTTTATTTTCTACTGTTTGGCAAATAAACTTGAAAATATGTA